TGTCATGCAGCATGATGAAATAGGTACCATTATTACGTCCTCTGTACAGATGAGAAAACTGAGGCATATACCTGTCAGGCTCAGCAGAGCTGAGACATAACCATGCAGTCAGGCAGTCTGGGCTGTTTCTCTCTACTACCTTGCATAAGAGGGGCAGCATTAAAAGCTCCTGTGTCACACATATGAGAGCGCATTATTAATCCTCTGAGATCCCTGCAAAGCAACTCTGTGTAGCACCCCACATTATTCATGGGAAGACTCACTCTGTCTCATGCAGCCAGGACAAACGGTTTTCCAGCTCAAGAGTGTTTCAGGGATAGGGTGCAGCTCAGTGAAAGAGTATTTTCCTAGCATGCACGTAACCCTGAGCTCCACCCCACAGCACCACAAAAATAAGAAAAAACGCAGGGAAAAAGTGCATCAGAACCACTCAGAAGGTTTCTTCCAACGTGGTTACTGTGCCCCATTTCCACAGGCTCAGATTCAGCAAGTATGTGGTGGGCCCTGAGAAGTAGCATTTCTAGGGGCATTAGCACAGGGACAGAATCCGCGTTAGCATGTGCTAGGCCCTGATGATATAGGACCCTTGGAAATGAATGACTGACTGTGCTTGCTTTTATTATTAATTTTCTGGGCGTCCTACTCAGCACCAAAAAATGAAGAGAATTAGTATTTTGAACAATTTTCAGGGGCTGCAGCCGCTACAGCTGCTAGTGGAGGACCACACGGGATGCACACCAGGCCCAGTCTGTGGGGCTGATTGGTTTCAGAGATCAAGACCCAGCTCTGAGTCTCACAGTTCCAGTCTCTGCAGTTGTCCCCAAAGCTTAGAGTGGGTAGGTTCTTAGTTCTCTGCTGAGGCACACAGAGAGTTTCAGAAATACTTTTTGGAAAGAAAACTCATTGATGGAGGAAAAAAATACAACAGCATTTGCACAGTTTCATTGTAAAGCAATGAGAAAAAGCTGAATCAAATTGCCTTTAAAATTGCATCATTTTAAAAATTAGGTGGGGGGACCTCTGGGCCTAAATGTGTTTTTAAAGATTTACAGCCTCGGGGCTGGGGATTTAGCTCAGTGGCATAAGCACCTGCCTTGCAAGCAGGCGGTCGTGAGTTCGATCCCTGGTACCGATAAAAAGTTAAAAAAAAAAAAGAATAGTAAAGATTTATGGCCTCTAAAGCATTACCTAAGAGGCTTGGAAAGTTGCACCCTGCACACTTCTGCGACTGCTCTCAGGAGCTGCTCCCATCAGATGATTAGGGACCAATCACACAGTGGCACAGCTTTTTCCTACCCTCCTGCTGCTCCACTCTTCTCTGTAAATGTGTTTCTGGTGCATGCTTTGGCTCAGGAAGGTGGAGATCCTCACCCCTGACCCCAACAGGTCCAACCTTGTAATCTCCTGAGTAAGCTTAAGCAGCAGAGGCCTTTTAAGCCAGGGGCTTGGCAAATACCTCATGGCCTCACACCCCCGAAGAATTGGCTGTCCAGAAGAGAGCAGGAGCTGCCAGATGAGGGAACTGCGAGGTGACACAAGAAGACTTTTCCATGGCTGACACCCTAGAGCATAGCAGGGCTGCATCCAAATTAGGGTCCCAATCACTCCCGAACAATCTGAAGATCTAAAAGCAAATATGACGGATCGGAGTGTGGTAGAGCACTTGCCTAGCAGACACAAAGCTCTTGAGTTACATTCCCAGCATCATAAAAATGTTTTTAATTAATAAAAGCAAATACAATCAGCCCTCTATTTTTAAGAGGGCTGACTGTTATATCATCAGATTTAACAAACTGCAGATGAAAAATATCTAAAGGAGAATGGGAAATTGCACACAAACTTTTTCGTTATCACTTTCTTAAACAACTCAGTATTAATAAACATTTTCATAGCATTTAAATTGTATTAGGTATGATAAGCAATCTAAAGATAATTTAAAGTATATGGAAGAACATGCATAGGTTATATACAAATATTATGCCATTTTATCTAAGGGCCTCAAGCTTTCTTAAGATTTTTGTATCCTCGGGAATCTTGGAAGTCTTGGCCCTCACCATGTAGGAAGCAGGAGCCCTACATCCAGGCCCAGTTCTCTGCTGAAGCAGCGGGTGGCCTTGGGCAAGTCCCATTCCACCTGAGCCTCAGGCTTAGCTCCGAAAACAGTTGCTGTTGAAGGGGAGGCTCTGCCTGCTCAGGACTCAGAGGTCCTGGCTGGTTTTCCAAGCTTCATCATTGGGGTGCCCACCTCCCAGCCTTAGCAGGGCTTGTCACCAGTTTCGCTTTGCCTTGTTCAATTCCTATTAGAATATAAGCACATCACCACTTGAGTTAACGAAGTCTATGAAGTCTTGGTAAACAGTTTCGATGATACCTAACATCGCATTCCAGATGTTCTACAGAGTTTGATTCTTCAATCTCCTATCCCTAAATAGTCACACTAGTTCCAGCACCAAGAACTGGACAGCTGGGGAAGGGGAAGTTGGTTGGCCCAGAACACAGGGTGTCCCCACTGCACTAACCATCCCCATCTCACGCAGCCACCCTGTGCCACCCACTGCCCATGCCTGGCCATGTGCCCACTCCTTAGGGTCAAGCAAACACTACCAGCTTCACAGTGCTCCTTTCTGGCCTCTACTCTGTGCCAGTTCTACTCTTTCTCCTGCACCACTAGGTTCACAAGAAACCTTTGTAGCCCATTGTGCTAGGCCCAGCACCAAATGCTGACAGCAAAGCCAAGCATAAGAGTGTCCCCAATATCAAAGGGGACCCACATCAGCCACTTGCTGCCACCTGGCACCTGCTCCAATACATTGACCTCACCTTTGTCAGGATGTACTCTGCAGGGTGAGCCTGTGTCAGAGGCCTGGCGATGCTTTCTGGGCCTCAAGTGTGCTGAGTGTACCAAGAGCCTTGCCCATGGCTCCTCCACCACCATCCAGTGAGATTTAAGGAAGATCAAGGCCCCAATAGCTTAGAGGCCATGGATAACGTCCATCAAATCCTCTCACAACACAGAGCAGGAAAGCCAGAGGCCAGACATGCCCCAAGGTTGCACCACTGGGCCTCCCTGCCCCACCCCTGAGTGAGGTCACAGAGTCCACCAATGCAGGGGACCCGTCCCACAGTGCCTGCTTTGCTCCAAATGCAAATAGCAGCTCTTTTCAGACTCCAGGAGGGTCCTCCTCAAGCAAGCCACCCAAAGCGGTGCAGACAGCAAGATGGAGATGACACTCTGGGTGTTACTTTCTCTAGCACATGTACCTGGCCTGAGGACTGCAGGCCACTTGTCCATGTGGGTCATGTCCACTGTGTGCTGAACACCACCAGCCAAGTGTTGCTAGTCAGGGATCAAGAGGACAGTGGACCTCACAGGTAGACAGGGAGGGCATCCTGGGGCAGGCAGGGTTGGAGGAAGTACATGCCTCTCTCCGGAACTGCAGTGTTCTAAACTGTGAGGCCCGCTACAGAGAACTCAAGCACTCCTTGCTACCCTAGCAGTGACAATCAGGTCTCATCATGCTAGAGGGGATCACTCACTTGCATCCTAATTCCTAATGACTGCCTTAGTCTGTCCTCTGCTGTCATAATGGCACTGCATGCTTGGAAGCAGAAGGCCAGAGATACACAGAGGCCCTGCTCCTGGGAGCTAACTTGGGCCTCCAAGAATCAGGCAGACAAATGAGGTGTCACCATAGACCTCACAGACCTTGACCCTCGAACCCAGGGCAAAACCAACGGCAGGGCCAGTCCTCCACTGGGCCACACCCAGTCTCCACTCCCTGTGCCCTGTGTGGGTGGATTGTCTCAGTCTTGGCTCCTCCCACACCATGGAGTTCTGCCCCCACCCTCCCACATTCCCAATGCAGTCCCTCCTTGCCAATACCAGGCTAGGAGAGTGCCATCCAGAGGGAACCAGAGTCTCAGATGCCTACCTCCCAGGGGACCCAAATGTTGCCTTTGGATGTCCTTGTCCTGACAGGGGCAAACTTCCATAAATGATCTCTAACTTAGAATCACAGGAAAATAAAAATAAATATAGTAACAAGGACCCAGTGGTCTTCAAATCCACACTTAGAAACACAATTCCTATGCCCTCAGAGGACCCTCCATTTCCCTGGGCTCCCTGTGCCCTTTGCGGCCCATAGGCTCAGTGCCAGGGACAGATACACGAGCTCAGCCCCCTTTGCAACAGTGAGCGGGAGCACACACTTTAACAAGCTCCCACAATTGTGCGTGCATCAAAGTGAGCGAAGGCCTGTTTTCTTCCTTCCGCACTCTGAGCTGTGTTCCCGGCGGCAAAAGCAACAGGGCATGACTAAATGCGCTTGAATAAAAGAGCAAAGAAAAGAAATCTCAGTCTCTCCACTCCTCAGAGACAGAAATAGTTCTGTGGCCTCCAGATGGACTGCTCAGTCACAAGGGGAGGTCTCGCCTTCCCGCCAAACTTTCCCAATGGGATGCTGGCACGAGCCAGTGGAAACCAGAGAGTATTTCTCTTTGGGGCAGTAAAATGAGAGGCTGTGGCTCACGGAGTCCCTTCTGTTATAATTAAAGTTGGCCAGAAATTCACCTAAGATACTAAATTCCATACCTGACCCTCTAATTACAGCCAGAAGGCATCAGGAGACAATTACTTTCCAAAATAGTCCTCCACAGGCAAGAGGCGAGAGCTGTCGGGCACATCGCAGAAGTGCCTGCTGGCTGAGTGCGCCCAGCAACACCAGCAGCTTTTCTTCCCTTCCCCTCCCTGTGCTCAGGCCCCACCCACCAGAATCTGAGATGCCTCAGTCCTCAGCTTTTGGGGTGGCCAGGCCTTCAAGGAAACCTGCAGGCGACTGTCACTGAGCAAAGGATTCCCAGAAGCAGTGACGCCCTGCTTGCTGCCCCCATAAACCCAGCATGTGTCCCTGATGACGGGGCTCCCAACCACCCTCATTAAATCCTAACAGGCTAATGAAAAACACCCCTGCTGCTCGCCAAGCGTGCAAAACAGAAAGTACCTCCTTGGGCAGCCACAGCTGCCGCTGCAGCCACTGCAAGGGGACAGGCCTTTTTACCCGGGTCAGGGAAAGCACTGTCCTCCAGGATTCTGCTTTTGGCTTCTTTCTTCTCCGAGGCAGTGGCCGGGGCAGACGTCTCCATCTCAGCTGCTCATAGTCCTGGGTGGCAACCCTGAAGGAGATGACAAAGACATTCACCAACACTGCACCCCAACCAGCAGGCAAGCACTGACCCAGATTCCTGCTGCCACTCGCTTCTCCAGCCACCAACTTCCTTGTCGCTCTTATAATTGGGAAGGAGTGCTTAATTACTTTTGAGAATTATTCATCTTGAGATTTATCTGCTCTGCCAAACAACCACATGGACAACAGCATAACCCTTTTGTTGTCTTTTACCCAGATTTTGAAAATCTAAGCAATAAGTTCCTGCTGATGTGAATGATCAGAACTACATGAGAAATGATATCAGAAAGAATAACTTCCAACTTAGAATCACATGGGAAATAAAAGTAAATATAATTACAATTGCTGGAAGACTTCAAAGAAAGGTGATAGCCTTCCTGCACTTCCTTGCTCGCCAGAATTCATCCTTCATTTATTCAGTTGGAGACTCACTCATTCACTTATTCACCCATTCATTCCACAAATTTGCATTGTTTATTGACTCAAATGCATTCAGTCTATTTTTGAAGTCCCTTTTAAGCACCCCATATCACACCTGGTAAAAAAATACATGGTGTCTGAGGTCTACTTGAGCAATAAATAGGATGAAAATAAATACAGGTTTATTACATTACAGTTAGTGGGAAGGGGCATGAGAGATTGAGTAGCTGGATGGAGAATGGCAGGTGGGACAGGGGACAGCACTGATTCAGGGCTGGACACATAAGGAGCCACTGAGGGTCTGAGACTGCTCCCTGGCCAGGTGAGGGATATAGTACTAGAGGGCTGGAATGGAGGAGTTACAAGATGTGACCCACAATGTAAAAGCTCGCTCTTCACCAGTACACACACTGGAGACGGGAGGCCCCCGTACTACACCAGCTACAGAGTCACAACCACAGTGGCGCAGGTGAACATGACCGTGTGGAATACAGCCCCCGGGAAGAGCAGACAGGCCTTGCTGTGGATGAAATGCGGATGGGGTGGGAAGTGGGGCATAGGGGTTAAGGCAAAAGCACCTTGAGGGATGCAGGGCGCCAGCTCCAGCTGGTGGGATTCAAAGCATTTCTGTAAGATGCCTCACCACTGTCACATCCAGCTATTTGTATCAAATACTACAGAATAAACAGGAAAGTCAGACCTTTTCAAAGGAGGGTGTGTCCCAGATAGCTCTATTTTTGCCTGAGCATCAGGATGGTTGAATGGTGGTACCATTTACAAAAACGAAAAGAGACAGACAGCTGGGGATATAGTTCAGTGTGACGTATTTGCCTAGCACGTGTGAGGCCTGGGTTCAGGCTTCAGTACCACCCCAAAAAAAAAAAAAAAAAAAAAAAAAGGAACAGAACAGGGAAAGAGCAGTTTTAGCAGCAGAAACCAGAAACTCAGCTGGGTAATATGAAATTCAAGGTGTCTACTGAGACCTGCAGTGTAGACTGATCTGGAGCCCAGCAGGGCATCACGGGCTAAGGAATCAGGCAGACAGTAGCCAAGGTGACCACATAAGTTGAAAAGAAAAGTCCAGCACAGAAATAAAAGACAAAGAACAGTTGCCAGCCAAGAAGAGAGAGCAGAATGGCTGGGGGTGGGGATGAAGAGGGGAAAAATTACAGCAGAATATGGGGTGCTAAAAGCTGCCCCAAGAAGGACACATTCAGTAGGAGGGCTGAGGACTTGCCGGGCTGGTAGGAATTCTTACCATACACCACCCTCCCCAAAGGAACTGGATTTCCTCTCCTTAGATACAGCCAGCCCCATGGCCTGTGACACCTCTCACGCAGCCTGCTCCCATCTGTTATGTGTCCACCTGGGTCACTGAGCTTCTCTTTCAAGTCCAGGCTGGACCTTATACCCCTCAGTCTACCAGGCCTACCCAAGTAGGGTCCTATTCCCTTGCCAAGGGGATAAGTTAGGAACAGGATGTCAAGTCTCTGCCTGGGGGCCTGGATCTCTCTGGACCAACCAGAAATCAGCAACAGACAAGAGCTACACCAAAAGGAGGCAGGTGTCTGAATCCCAGGGTCTGGATGACCAAGACCCAGAGCAACTTCAGGAAAAGGAAGGGAAGGTCCCAGGAGACTCTGATCTGACCCTCCAATGCAGGTGGGGGAACCGAGGGTCAGAAACCACAGGCTATAGTGTTTGGGACACCAGAAAGAAAAAGAGTAGCGACTATGAAGACCAAAAGAAGAAAAGGAAATGGTTGTTTTGGTAACAACATGCTTCAGTCTGCTTGTCTTCATCCCCCCCAAAACCCATACATTGAAATCTAACCCACATGGGGGTGGTGGTAGGAGGTGGGGCCTTTGGAAGGTGGTGAGGTCATGAGGATTTGCCCTCAGGATGGGCTCAGTACTCTTTAGTAGAGGTTCAGTGGCACCCTTTCACCCTTCTACCATGTGCAGATGCAGCCACAGGCCAAGTCAGTGAGGAAAGGGCCTTCAGGTGCCTCCATCTCAGACTTCTCAACCTCTCAAACAATGAACGTGACCATGTGTTCCTCCCAGGCTGCCCAGCCTCAGGGCTCTGTTCCAGCAGCCCGAACTGAAGGCTCAGCAGCATTAGCTCCTGTGCCAACGTTCTGCCTGTCAAGTGGCAGAGTGCATATTGTCCCAGGAAGGAACTGAGGCTCCCATGAGGACATGAACTGCCAAAGCTACTTCCTAGGGAGTGAGAAGGGACAGGTCTCCACTACAGTCCTCTGCCAAAATGCAAGCTGAGGCCTCACGGTCTGGTCACTTCAAGAACAAGGCTATGATGTGTGCTTAAGAAGGAAAAGAATCACTTTCGTTCCCAGGACCCAGACAGCGGCAGCACCACTCTGGCCAGGGTGAGCAGCTGTGCACACAGAAGCACCTGGGCTCTGAACTCCTAGGGGCTGACCCATAGCAGGTGCCCACCATGCCTTTGGCCTCACCTTCACAGAGTGACTGCTGCCCTCATCTGGCCACCTCCCCCTCACCACCACCACCCCAGGAAGGCAAGAGACCAGGCCTATAGTCTGTAAATCACAGGAATTGGTGAGATTAACACAATTTCGGGGTAAACACCAGATGCCCCCAGGGTCCCAGGCAGCCATTTCCACTTCTGCAGCACTAGTGAGACAGCAGCCCCGCCCCGCCCCCAGGCCACCTGGGAACAGGGGGCGGGGCTGACTCCAGCTCAGACTTCAGCCAGGGGCCATGCGCTCCATCCCAGAATGTTTCAGTGAGTCTCCACGGAAGCTCTGATACAAGGGCTGGGGAGCCAGAGGCTTCCCAGGAGGACGGTCAACGGCTTCACTCTGCTGGCAGCGCTCACACACTCCGAGCACATGGCAAGCCAGATGACTCCCCAAAGCTACTGCAGTCACACTGCTCAGGATTCTGCTGAGCCACGAGGCCCATCTTGGAGCTGAGAGGAGCCCCCTTTCCAGAGAGACACTGCATCCAGGTCATCTGCCCCAGAGAGAGCCTCAGCAGGAGCAGTGGCAGCACCAAAAAGCACTAGGCGAATTCCCGGGACCTCCCTGGAGACCATCCGCAAGTCTGGATGGATAGTTAGGGTAAGAAAAACTCTGGAAGTGTTTCTGATGCACAAGAAATGAAAGAGAAACCGAACAAAATGCTCATGAGGGCCCTGCCATTGCCAAATAAGTTTTCCACTTAAGACAAACTGCACAACCTACCTGGGAAAGACATTTTTACCTTCGCTAATTCGGACTGAAAGCTGGTGTCTCCTTTGGGCATGAAATTGAGCAGCAAATCACAGTGCCTGTGAGCCTGCCATGCCATGTGTCTATACCACAACCTGGAATAGTATCTGTGCTCACCTCAACTGCCCATCTACAGTACCACTGACTTTGACGTGTCAGTGAAGAACCCTTTGACATTTTAGTAACTGCACTTAATGTAACTGATTTGTTTCATAATCCTATATACATTATTCTATGTCTTTACAGCATTATTCTACAATAATAATTACATCAGGTTGCGAAAGGCCCATGGCACAGAACAGGTTAAGAACTGAGTTACAAGACTGGCTTGAAGAATTAATAATCAGAGCAGAATGAGCAAATCACCCTGAAACCTGAAATCCCAAATACCTCCCACCATCTGACTGCTTTGAACTCCCCAGGCAAATGAGTCACAGGAATTAGAGTGCTGTTCCCTGGGTGAAATCAATCTCCAGGAGAGAGAAATCTTTCCTCCCAGGGATCACAGTTACTGCAGCCAGGGTGTTCTCACCTCCTGTCTGATCTCAGCCAGACAACAAATGTGCCCAAAACACACAGGAGGGACACACGAACACATATAGGCTCACACTTACACAGCATACACTCCTGCTGCCTGTTGTGTGTGAACCATACACAGCCCTACACATGTATATACATATGTTCACACACAAATATGCATCCATCCAGACCACATACATGCGTACAAATCATACAGCCCCATGCATAAGGTCATACATGCAAATATGGTCACATGTATCACACATATGTGCACACACAGCCTACATGTAGTCAGACACAGACATACATGCATACCAAAGGTACTCACTAGGTCCAAACAAACATACACATGCTAGAGCTAATAAAAGTCCCCTATCTCGATAGCAGACTTATTTTTAAGATGAGACAAAATACGTGAAAGTCTCCAGAACAGACAACAGGAAGCAACACAGATAGAAGCTCAAAATAATCATCTCCTCACTATCACCAAAAGGAAAGCAAGGACTCTGCTCTGACTGTGCCGTGGCCCTGAGACTTGTCCTATACTGAGCTACCTTGTACCTTCCTTGAGCTGACAAATACCCAAGCATCAGTCATTTTGTCTCCCTACACATCCAGGTCCCCATCAGGAAAATGGTCATCATTAAGGGTGCCAGCAAACACAAGTCAGGTCAAGTCATGGAGGCTAGGAACATGAGAGCAAACTCGGATCTGACTCCCCACGCTGGGAGTATAGAGAAGCCAGAAACTGGCTTCTATCCTACTGCCCTACCCAACTAGGAAGGGAGAAGGGAATG